TCTAGAAACAAATGGGCTAAAAGGGCCAAATTTGACAAAAGAAAGTACAAAATTTGGGGTGTCAATACTCAATAGTAGAAAAACAGAGAACATAATCGATTAAATTAACCGTTTCTTTCTGCGAATGACACGTCCGATTTCTCGACATTGCCGACTCGGCAAGTGTAGCAGGAAGAAGATCTGTACTAGGGCACCACATCTTTATTAAACAAATCGAAAGGAGCAGTTAAACCAGTCAATAAATCCACTTCAATATCACTACTTCCTCACTTTCTTCAATAACAATTCTTCATATCGAATGACAACAACCCACATTCTAAATTGTATCCCTTTTTCGAACTTCGATCCTTAGATGCATTACGCATCAATAATGAGCTAATTTCGCAATCCTCCGTCTCTATGTTTGTGTTCCTGTTAATTATTCTTGCATCGTGATTCGTGATTCGTGAATCGTGATCCAATCCTCTCTTAATGAATTGGGTTTTACGGAAGATTGCGGATCTTAATGAAAGGGGTTTGCTTTGAATCTTCATTTTATTGATTGGGAAAAAAGAGATGGGTGGAAAACAGGGTTCGATCATTCATCATGTGGGCATTGTGTTGTTTCTAATTTGGTTGCTTTCTTCGTTGGATTACTTTCACCCACTGGTTTACTTCCTTTCGTTCATCTATCTCTACCTTGTAAGCTGTTAAATTTGTGTAATTTGTATGTGTGTTTGAACTCTGAACTTATTCATTTTGAATCGCTTCAATTTTTTTTATTCATTTTTTAAGGTTCATGATCGTTATGCAATGAGATTGAGAAAAAAGATACAGTTTGAGGAGCGAAAGCAAGCAAATCAAAAGAGGGTAATTCACTTGAACAGTTGAACTTCACTACTACTTTTGAATTTTAGCATAAAGTGATGATTTTTTTTTTTATAGGTACTTTCGGATTCTGAATCTGTAAGGTGGTTGAATCATAGTATTGAAAGGATATGGCCAATATGTATGGAAGAGATAGTCTCACAAAAAATTCTACTACCTATCGTACCTTGGTTCTTACAGAAATACAAACCATGGACTGTTGTATGAATACGTTTTCCTTTACCCTTTTGAATTTTCTTTATTTTAAATTAAAATTTTTGTAAGTAAACTGTGTAATGTAGAAAGAAGCTGTGGTTCAGAATATATACCTTGGAAGATCTCCTCCTATGTTTACAGATATGAGAGTTTGTCGTCAATCTACTGGTGATGATCATTTGGTAATTATCCATTGGATTCTAGTGTTAAAAATGTTTTTATTTTTGGTGGATTTTGAATTTTTGTAAAAAATTTGTTTTAAGGTTCTTGAGTTGGGGATGAATTTTCGGACAGCTGAAGACATGAATGCGATACTTGCTGTGAAACTGACGAAAAGATTAGGGTTTGGCATGTGGACAAAAATGCATTTGACAGGAATGCATATTGAAGGGAAGGTGAGTCCCTATTCATCTACATGAAGATGTACAATTGTACATACTTAATATTTATGTAATTTTTTCCATGTTAGGAAAATGGCCTCAAAGATTCCCAACAACAAAAAGTAATAGAAAAATAATAATACAAGAATACACGTGGAAAACTCAAAAACCAAAGAGAAACCACAGGTCTCCACAGAGAATTTTTTTTTTTTTTCACTATATAACACTTTTCGAAAATCACATAGATTAATCTCTCAAGCGAACCCTTAATGACACACACATAGTGACATAGTCTCAAAAATAAATAACTCAAAAATCGGAGAAAAACCATGGGTCTCTAGAGAAAGATTTTTTTTTTTCACAATATAACACTTTTTGAAAATTACATAGATTAATCTCTCAAGCCGACCCTTAACGACACACACATAGTGACATAGTCTCGAAAATAAATATCAAATCTATTCTACACTCTAGAAACAAGAGAAGAAAGAAAAAAAGTAATCAAATACTTCGAAGTGTATTTTGATTGGACATATAGAAACCAAAGCCTTGGACTTCTTTTATAAACATATTTGTCACTATTGATATGTTTTTCATGCAACTTTTTCCAATTCATTATATTATTTAAGGTGTTACTTGGGGTGAAATTTCTTCCAAATTGGCCTTTTATCGGACGTTTGAGGGTGTGTTTTGTTGAACCACCGTACTTTCAATTGACCGTGAAACCAATTTTCGCTCATGGGCTCGATGTTACCGAACTACCTGGGATTGCCGGATGGCTGGCAAGTATCTTCATTGATTTTCAAATCTTTATTTTTTTTTTTATTTTTTTTTATTTTTTATAAATCTATGTTTAATAAATATTCTTTTACTTGATTAGGACAAGCTTCTCACGCTTGCATTCGAGGAGACACTAGTTGAGGTAGTAGATTTCGTTAGAATTCATTATTATCTTACAAAAATAAATTTAAAATGTTAAAATACAAAAAATCAAATGTTTTCCGTTTTTCGTAGCCTAATATGTTGGTGGTGGATCTTGAAAAATTCGTTTCACCAAAAGCAGGTAAACTACATGACCTTGGTTTTGTGTTGAATCCATTAATTATCTTAGTATATACTTTAAATTTAATCTACTCTCAATTGTAACATATCATTATGTGTAGAACCTTGGTTTTGTATTGATGCCAAAGAGCCAGTTGCTTACACCTTAGTGGAGATTATTGAAGCATCGGGGATGAAAGCATCAGACATGAATGGTAAGTTTCCCTTAAAAAAAATGAACAATTTCTTGTGTTAACAAATAAAATAAACGCTTTTTCAGGTTTGGCTGATCCTTATGTAAAGGGACAACTTGGTGCTTATAGATTTAGAACAAAAACACAAAAGAAAACATTATCCCCAAAATGGCAAGAGGAGTTCAAAATCCCCATTACAACATGGGAATCGCCTAATATTTTAATGATTGAAGTCCGTGATAAAGATCACTTCATTGATGACGTTCTTGGGTTCGTTTTTTTGTTATCTTTTTCACTAGATATCTAACTATAAAAACTAATCAGTTAACGATTTTGTTTCAGGGATTGTTGTATAAAAATCAATGATCTTAGAGATGGAGATAAACACGACATGTGGTTACCTCTTCAAAACATCAAAACAGGAAGATTACATATCACAATAAAAGTCATTGAAGTCGAAAAAAAGTCGACTTCACCACCATGTGAAGTGGATGCATTATTCGACGAGTTAAAAAAAGATTCTTCCATAGCTAACACCAGGAAAGGAGCCGCCTCCGGCGACCACCCGCCGGAGAAACCACCGCCAATGGCCGACGACTTTGAACCCATCGATGTTGAAGGTCAGCGACAGACTGGCATATGGGTTCATCATCCAGGGTCGGAAGTACCTCAAATTTGGGAACCGAGAAAAGGGAAGAACAGGGTCAAACCTGGGTCAAACTTAGATGACATCAGCTTCTCGGATGACAGCTTGGAAGGGAATAAAGTAAACACAAGAAACCGAGTCAAAAGAGGGTTGACTAAAATTGGGTCGGTTTTGAACAGAACCCTAAAAACAGAGGGTGAAAAAAGTAGAAGCTTTAAGAAAAGGGAAAATTATGAAAATTGGGAGTCGCAATCTCCATCTCCGCGACAAAATGTTAGGGCGGTGAATGAGAATGGGGTGACGGTAAATTTAGTCATGGAGGAAAATATGTTATCCTCTGACGGAGACAACAAATCGGACAAAATTTGTCCAGAGAGTCCTAAAAGGAAAGTGAAAGATGTGGCGAAAAGTATTTTGAAACATGCGGGAGATTCGGCTAAAAGTATGAAGCATGTGCTTTCTGGTAAGGGGGCTAAAATGAGAAGAAATGCGGAATTGGCGGTGGAATCAGACTCTTCGTTTGAGGATTCCGTTCCGTCGCCTAATTGTGAAATTGAAGGACAAACAAGTCCACAAGTTGGTGTGATTGATTCCGTGGAGGGTGTTGAGACAAGTCTGGAATCGGAAAACGGTTCCCAAGGAGATGATGTTGAAAGGCGAAGAATGGATTCGCTTGTAGTTTGATAATGAGTTATAATTAGTTTGTTGTTGTACTTTTTTCTTGGATGTATGTAAATGGAAATGTTTCGTGATGGTGCTTTTGATCTCAATTTTTAAGCCATTTCCAACATATTACATTATTTTTTGCACCAGAAACGTGTAAATTTTCTTGAATACCTAAAGCAGTTGTACCGTTTAAACAAAAAAAAAATATTGAAATTATATTCTATTTTTTGGATTGTCTAAAAAGACATCCTATTTTACCATATAGACATCCTGTGTGTCTTTTTTTAAAATATTTTGATTGGTTTGAAATTGCATTATTTTTCAAAAAAAATTGATTATAAATAGTTAATTATAAATTGATTTTTTATAATGGGATCAATGCAATATCTAAAGAGTGTCTTATTAGTATCACTTTTTTTTTAAACTTATATAGATATAGATTCTACATAATACTTTTAGTTTTTTTTTTGTTTTGTTTTTTACAAGTTTAACTTGTGTCTATCTTATCGCTAAGAATTCTATAAGTCATAGAGAATTATAATTTTGGTCAATGTGTATAGCATAGCTGGTTTTTTTAATTTTGATCCCAAAATTTTTTATTGCAGTTTTGATCTTTGTTTGATGTTCTTGTGACCAATTTGTTCTTTGTTCCAAATAAAATAATTTTTTTTTTTTTTTTGTCACTATTTGGTGCCAAAACTATCCATTTTACTTGCAACATGAAACCAAAAATGCAAGATAAATCTTTTTGAATTAGTTATCATATTAATATAACAAATCTTTTTAAAAATAAAAAAGTTAACACCAAATTTGCTGTTTTACATATAAAAACCAAAAGTGCATAACATCATATGAGAAAATACAAATTGAGTGTTAAAAAATCAAAATCATGTTAGTTTTGAGCATTTTTTGTCCATCAAATTTGGTATAAACAATGAGATTTGGTGTTGGGTTGGAGATACCTAAGGATCTTTTGAATTATATATCAAAAAAATAATTTCTTAATTGCTTCTAGTTTCGAAGTATACACTGAAGGATATGCTTCCACATTGACAATTTTGGTAAATACCCATTTTCTATCATATGTTTTAAAACCAAATCAATATCTTCAACATTCTTTTCTTCACAAAGGCCATGGATGATCAATTTATATGAATCAAAACTTGGAACCATTTTCATGGATGACATCTTTTTTGCTAAATTCATAGCCTTGATGTACTCTTTGCTATCGATCAATGCATACAAAACCTCTTGATATGTGCTTGGAATGGGTTCACATCCTTTTAGCAACATCTTCTCAAAAACCTCAATACTTTCTTCGATTCGATTGTTCTTCCTTAAACCTGAAATCAGTATGTTTATGGAGATTGTATCAGGCTCCACACCTTCTGTTTCCATCTTGTGTAACAATGAAAAAGCTTCCTCAACACGACCAAGTTTACACAATCCATGCATCAAAGTTGAAAAGGTTCTCACATTAGGCTTACAATTTTGTTTAGGAAATTCATCGAACACTTGGAGTGCAGCATTTATGTCCCCGTTTTTACACAAGCCTTTCATCATGATGTTCAAACAACAAGCATCGATTTCAACACATAATTTCCCAGCACCCATGTAAACCTCATGGATTACGTCAAACTGCTTAGTGTTCACAAGCAAATTCAATACAAAATTAAACGTTTTGGGAGTTGGCCATGAACTGTAGTTTGGCATATCGAAAAGCGTTTCAATTGCTCGATTTATTCTACCAGCACGAAGCCCGTAAATCCTGATGACATTGTAGAAAAACCCATCGGAAAGTCTGCATCTTTTTTCGACCTTGATTCTCTTCATTACTTCTTCAATTCCATCGAAGTTCTTGGCTTCTGAAAGATTATTTACCACGGATGTGTACAGAGCTTCATTGGGATTATAATCTTTTCGCTTTGAGAGTTGATTAAGAACAGTGAGGGTCGAATTGGGATCTTTTAGGGTTTCGAAAATCTTGATGACTTCAGTTGGGCTTAACCAGTCTTTATGATTGTGTAATTCGAGGGGATCGAGTTTTATCGAAGAATTGAGTGAAGCAGTTGAATGATACCACTTTAGATTGATTTTGGGAAGTTTGGTAACGATCGAACGAGAAATCATCTTATTATTCAGGTTTTGGTTCAAACAAAAGTGGAACCTGCCATAAACTGATAACTTCTTGCTCCTCGTATGAAATGTCTTAAACTACTTGTTTCGTACCTATATATATATGAAAAGAAGCAAAGTTATTAAAATCGGAAAGTTATTTAAATCGAATCCTGCCTACGATCGATTTTGGGTTTGTAAAATCGGGATTGTAAGATTGTCATTGGATCCTAAGATCTCACAAAATAAAATATAATTTTAATTTATAATTTTTAATCATGAAAAATATTTCAAACATTCAATTTTTCGGTCAAAAGTTATACAAGTGTTTATAGCTAAATCTACAAGCCATAGAATGAATTTAAGGCATGATTTGACTAAGTTATAGGAGTTTACGTCCTAAGAACCCATCCTTGGGGGGTTTACGACTTTAAGCTCCTATGGGAGTGGTTTTCATTAAGTTTAAGGCCTCTAAATCGTTTGTGGTTGCTTCTAGACTTTAATCCAAGGCTTAGAAGGTGTGTAAGTGGCAATTTAACACCTTAGAAGGAGTTGACTACCCATGAATGGGTGTTTACGGCCCAAGCATGTTCTTGGGCAGTAAACTCATGTTTACTCCTTAAATGATGAGTTCAAGGTGTTCTAAGTCCAATTTGGTAAGCCCCTAAGTCATATCTAAGCTCCAAATGAGGTTTGGAAGGGTTTTTGGGCTCCAAAACCCATTTTATATGTGTTCATGGCCGAAGAGTGTTCCAGGGCCGTGAACACATGTTTATGGTCCTAATCCATGATTTGAACACGAAAATGAAGGCTAAAGATGTTATACTAGGAGCTAGGATAGTTACCTTGATGATTTGGAGCCTTAGTTTGATGATTTTGGAATTGGAGTTTGGATTTGAGGAGAGACGTTAGAGAGAGAGTGAAAAAGCTTCAAATGAGGCTTAATCCACTTTATATATGGTTCCGGTTTGGGACATGGTGGAATTCTACCCGATACCAACGTTAAACGGGGTTTTTGGTCGCACCCGATTAAGTGGTCGTAATCCGGCGGGACCAATTCTAAAAATTTTCAATTTAATAATTTGGGTCGTTTACATGAGTTTCTAGGGAGTTTAGACACTCATGAGATTATAATAACCATATAAATTTAAATAACTTAGCCCAAAAACGAAATCGGAACGAATTGCTAAAGACGGGTTTTATAGGCGGAACGGGTTACGGCGATGGAACAACTTCGGGTTGTCACATTATCCCCCCGTTAGAGGGAATTTCGTCTCGAAATTCAAACTTTAGATACAATTTATGGATTCGGAAAGAAATACGGATACTTCTACTTTGTTGGATTCTTGTGCTCTCAAGTGAATTCGAGTCCTAGCGTGGCGTTCCAGCGAAGATTTATTGTTGGGATATGACTTTGTTTCGTATGTTAGTCTCTCGATCTATGATTTCGATTGGTTCTACCATGAGGTTCATACTTTCGTTGATTTCGGTCTCATCAAAGGGATTACTAGGGTTTCATCGGGTAGGTACTTCTTAAGGATAGAGACGTGGAATACCGAATGGATGCTGCTAAGTCCTGAGGGTAGTCGGAGTTTGTAGGCTACGGGATCAATCCTAATGAGGATTTCGAAAAGTTCTATGCACCTTGGGATACGCGTTTCAGAATGTAACGTGCCTTCTTTCTTATTGTTAACTATCTCGATGGTAAACGTTTCGGTTACTATTTGAGGACTATGTTTATGAAGATGTTCGAATGAATAGCTAACAATTTATCTTTCAGTACTAGAATTGAAAATGATTGCAAGCAGAAGGGTTGTCGAAGAGGAATATACATGTGGCAACGGTGGGATCGGCGGCTGCCAAACCTTGTCCTATAGCTAGGACTCTTCCAGTGTTGCCAGTTGTTGCTGCATTGGGGCAATTTCTCTTATAATGCCCGACTTTACTGCAACAATAGCAGGCCTGGCTGATACCTGCTCCGGAGGCTTGATTTGTTGGTATTCTGCAACTTCGCGCAAGGTGACCCTCTTGGCCATAATTTTTGCAAAATTTCACACGACAGGGACCGGGGATGTGGTGGTGGTAACTACATTGGTTACACCACGGGAAAATATCGGCATATCCGGTGATAGGTGCTTGGGTTAGGAAACCTACGACGGAAACAGTAGCAGGGGTAGTGGCAGCGTGGACTGCCACTATTTGTTGTTTCTTCGAGAACTCCTGTGAAGGCTGACTTTTCTCCTTTATCTCCCAATATTTTCTTTTCTCACTACTTCTCTCTGTCGGCTTAGGAGTGGTGGTTGCTTCCTCTATGTCCTCACTATGGTCGATCAAGATTTGCGCTAGGCATTTGGCGTTGTTGTATGTATCCGGCTTTGCAGCTAAAACATTCCCTTTGGTTGGATGGGTCAACCCCCATATGAACCTCTCAAACTTTTTGCTTTCCGGGGTAACCATCCCCGGACAAAGAAGCGCCAAGTCATCAAACCTCGAAGTGTAAGCGGCGATATCGGAACCTTTCATCTTCAGGTTCCAGAGTTCATGCTCCAGCTTCTGTATTTCGCTCTGAGGGCAGTACTCCGCGCGCAGAAGTTCCTTCATGACTTTCCAACCCATAGCATTGGCTACAGGTAGAGTTAGGGATTTGACTCGGCCATTCCACCAAGTCAGAGCTTTAACGGTGAACGTGCAGGCGACGAATTTCACCTTGTCGGATTCTGAACAAGCAAAGATCTCGAAGATAGATTCGATTTTCTCTAACCACCTAGTTAAGGCAATGGCACCTACTGTGCCATCGAAGACTATGGGTTTCGTGTTCATAAAGTCCTTATAGGAACACTCCTTCTAGTGTCCCTGGCTACCTTCCTGGTTTTGGGTTTGGGTACCACCCCCTGAACCACCGGGATTTATGTGAGATATGGCGGCTGTCACTGCGGCAGCAACAGTTGTCTGGAATACGACAGGATCAAATTGAGGAGGAGGTGGTGGCGGAGGAGGACTATTGTTGTTCTTTGAGTTGGGTCTCTTTCTTGGAGGCATCTTGATTTATAAAGATCAAGAAAGAGAGGATGGTAAGTCCTTTGAATTGAATCAAGAGATATGATACAATGGATATCTCATTATGACAGACATAGAATTCTATTAAGCGATAAAGTAGGAATGAATTATCAAAACAGATAAATTATCGCTAAAGGAATGATTGAGGAGCAACGCTGGGATGAGGATTTCTATAACGGATTTGGCTCGAGAAATACTCCCATAGTATTTCATATCTTGCTGCAACGACGGCCCATTGTTTGGGTATTGGGTAAGTTTTAGGCATGCCGCACACCATAGTCACTCCCAAGCACATGTTGGCCGTGTCTCGAATGAATATAGTTGGCCAGGCTATATTGATCCTAGACACGACTACATAACTGCCCAGGTTTAACCGCAGCATACAACACCCATTTACTTATGTTTCGTTCTACTTGTAGTTACGGATTACGACGGTTAGGCATACTTGTATACTTTTGAAAATACTCATATTTTGAGGTATACTTTTAGTTCAGAGCACTTAGGCCCCTTTAGTGTTTATAGTCTTATACCATGTAAGGTTTGGTATACTAGTTCACTATAAACAAGGGCTCTGATACCAATCTATCACACCCCGAAACCCAGGGCGGAAACATTTCGGGACAGAGGTGACTTCATCTTAAGTATCACAACCAATGTACGTAGTAAGCAAACAACCATTACATTACATATTATAATTTACATCTGTTCAAAAGTAAAGTGTTACAAATTTTATACATACGTATATATAAACGAAAGTTAAGACAAGTCTTCTGTACGCTCCGTCTTCTCCAAAAGATCGCGGGTACCTATCTAATATGGACCTGAGAATACAAGCAGTTTGAAAATCAGCATAAAGCTGGTGAGTTCATAAGAGGTTTGTTTTCTGAAAATGTACCAGTTTCCTTTGGTTTTCCGAAAAAGTTTGTTATCCAAGAGAATCCCATATTTTCTTATGTGTAAAGTTTAGTTAATTGTTTTGTTACACGATTCTGGTTACGTACAATTGTTATCCCAGGAAAAACCCTTATTTTCCTAAAAGTAAAGTTTAGTTATTGAATCCCAATGTAATGTTTGATTATCTATCATACTTGTTATATTATCTAGGTATTCTGATATCCTAGTTATGTTATACTTGAATGTACCTAGATGTGTGCCTTCGTATTCGTATTCCTATTCTTAATCATATTTATATTCGTATTTTATATTTGGATTCGTATTCATATTTATATGTGCATTCTTATTCGTATTCCTATTCGTATTCGCATTCTCATTCGCATTCGTATTCGTATTCCTATTGCTACTCCTATTCCTATTCCTATTCGTGTTCGTATTCGTATTCGCATTCGCATTCGAATTCATATTCGCATTCGTATTCGTATTCGTATTCGTATTCCTAATCCTATTCGTATTCGTATTCGTATTTGTATTCACATTCGCATTCGCATTCGTATTCGTATTCCTAATCCTATTCCTAATCCTATTCGTATTCATATTCGTATTCGTATTCGCATTCACATTCATATTTGTATCCTTAATCGTATTCGTGTTCGTATTCGTATTCGTATTCGTATTTGCATTATTACTTTAGTATTTGTTCTGTTCGTAGCTTTACTTTCATATTCATTATGTTCCTAGTTATACTTTCATATTCGTTCTGTTCCTAGTTGTACTTTCGTATTCGTTCTGTTTTTAGTTGTACTTTCGTATTCATTATGTTCCTAGTTATACTTTCGTGTTCATTCTGTTCCTAGTTGTATTTTCGTATTCGTATTCGTATTAGTTCTAATTGATGATTAGTATGAATTATTCGTAGATTATGAAATATAACATAGATTGTAAGACTTTATTAAGAAATCTATGATTAGTTTGAAAGCTAAGTCCGTAACTCGAACTATTTGATTAACACAGTTTTCGATATTAAAAACATACATAATATAAATATTTGAACTGAAATAATA